CAGTATCTCTGTAAGTAATGTGAGAGGACAGTTAGTGTTCTGAAGCGACTAGCAACAACCAATATGATCCTAACGAGCCAATAGATTTCAAATAATAAGCCACATGCCACCAAGCAGAGCTGTACATGGTGTGAGGAGCTAACATTAGCAGCCTGAAAGCAGTGTCTCCGTAGATTGTTTCCGTATTTGTATCTCCTGATGTCAAACATGAATTATAAATAAAGTATAACTCCAGAGTTTTCCCCAACAAAGATACCATGTATCCTTAAGGTGGGAGTAAAGCTGTATTCAAAACACATGCCAAGCAACCAGTGATGCTTCTGCTTTTACTTTGAGCTCTTCTTTACAGTTCGGTTGTGTCAGGTTGTTCATGGAAATATGGCTTTCACGTGTCATTATGAAAACATTTGCTTTCCTTGTGTCAGAAATTGATACTGTCCCAGGAGTGGCCAGTGTGAAGCAGCCCATCCCCTCAGGAGAAGGAAACCCAAGTAGAGATTTAAGATCTAACCCTTTTGTTCAGCACTTAAAATAGCTTCCTCGTTTTCAAAAGCCCTTTTCTGATTCATTTGTAGAATAAAAGGAATCCAAGTCATTCTTAAAATAATCCTTAAGAGATGCAGACAGGTAGTCATTCTTCATAGAATTGCCACTTCTTTTTACAATATTGCTTTCTTTTCTTCTTTTTACTCACGTGTGTTATAAATAATTTGTATAACCCGAGAGTGTCCAAAGGGTGTCCTGGAGTGGAGGTTGAGGAGAAATAATGAGCTAAGATTTTCAGTTTATCCCATCAGATAGTCTCCAGAACCTTTAGCCTTTCCTAAGGCTAGCCCGAGGGCTTTCCACAGGGAAGTGGGGGAGACCTTCATTAACCTCACATCTAGGAGGCTGGTGTTCTGTCTTCCAGAGCCAGCAGATCTCTTGCTTATAGCTTACAAACTTCAACAAATAAAAAGGTACAGCTAAGCACCACCTCCCTTGATGATAAAACATTTAGGCCGAAGCCTTTAAGATAAAAACATTTAAAAGCCAAGTGAACAGAATTCAAATATGCATTTTTGGACCCCTGTCTAATCAAAATGCTAAATTTAACTTGTGCTACAGTCTCCTGCTACGTTAATGTGTTTCATGAAACCCACATTCTATTATTGCACATTGAAGTTGTTTCCAGGTTTTATCTAAACAATGAGTGGGTGAGCTTTCTTTTACTTCAGTTGTGGTCACTGTTCATTCTCTTGGGATAAACTCTGAAAAATAAATTCCGGAATCAAAACCATGCATACAAAAGCAGTTTCCCTCCCTCCCTCTCTTCCTTTCTTCCTTCAGGGTGTATGTGTGAGGGTGTCAGGTGGAGGTCAGAGGACAATTTTCAGGACTTGCTCAGAATTTGTTGTCAGCCTTGGTGGCAAGCCTCTTTCCCCACTGAGCCTTCATGCCTCCAATATTTTCCTTTCTACACGTAAAATTACGTGTGCTGCTGTTTACTGAAAGGCAAAGCTAATGAAGATTTACAAGAAAAACTAAATCTCATGTTCCCGATTTTATCTCTCTTAGATGGTAACTGGTGTTAGCTGTTTTCTATGGCTATTTCTTGGGTTCTTTCTGAGTATTATGTAAGCGGGATCAACCCCCCCCCCCCACACACACACAACTGTGTAATTTGCTTTTATTGCAAGCATTCATTCTTCTTAGTGTCAATGTCTTTCTTGATGGGGACACACCAATGACACTCGTTCAATTAAGAGCTACAGAAGGCAGCCATGATTTAATCTACCATCCTCCAACGGAAGGGCACTACCGTGGCCTCAGATAGTTTTGCTATTATGAATACTGCTGCAATTAACATTTGGGAATCTTTTGATACATACTCCCGACATGTCCCCCCACAGCTACCCATTTGCGCATTCTCGCCAGCACCAAGGCTGCTTCCCTTTAGCTATACCATCACCCAGCCTTATTTTTGATCCCATGCCAATCTAAAAGGCACAGAGTGGTGTCTTGTTGTTTAAATTTGCATTTCTTTGATTACTAATTAGGTTGAACTTTTTCATATGTTTGTTGGTCGATTTGCATTCCTTCTTTTGTGGAATGCCTGCTTGAGTCTTTTATGTACTTTTCCATGAAAGTATTGCAAATGACTCTCTTTGGCCTTTGCTCTCTTCCGGATTTTTCTTTATGAATCTTTAGGACTTTTAAAGTGATTAAATAATTCTTAGGCCAGCTAACTTGATCTCTCTGTCTGACTGTCTTGGTATACTTGACACATTTCAAACTTAGGTTATATAAATTTCTGATCTAGAAATATTGCTGTAATTTATGAGATAGGGCTTTGTCTCTTCAAATGATTAATTAGCTCTCAACCACCCTTCACTCATTTCCACTTAGTTTAGATCCCACCATTGTCACATTAGTGAATTTTCAAATGCACAGACATATTTCTCTGGTCCACTTGTTTCTGTTTCTAGAATTGAAATTATTGCAATTTTGCAAATTATACCTGGCAGGGCAGGCAATTGTCTTCATTGTTTGTAGAACCCTTTGCTAGGTAATGCAGTCCAAGAGAACTTGCAAATCATTTGAATTAGTTCCTTGCTCATTGAAACATAAAAATTTTTGTTGAGATTTTGGTTAAAGTTGTATGGCAAATATTCTTGAAGTGAGATTGTAAACCTGCAAGATTGGAACTTAAAGTATCTCCATTTATTCAGTTTGTCTTTCAGTATATTTTGAATGACTGTCCTCCTTCATTCAGTTCTGGCATCAATTGTTGCTAACTTATTCAAAGATATAATATGCTAATTTGTATGGGATTTCTATTTTCCTATTATGTCTTCTTGGATGTAGACATATTCGTCTGCATTTTTTATTAGGTCTAATGACTAAGTTGATTCTTTGGAATCTTATAAATACATTATGCTATAGCCTATAATTACAGTTTGAGTTCTCCCCCTGCCTCCACCATCAATTAAGTCTTTTATTTCCTAAGCAGTTAACCAGAATGTCTGGATAACTAGGAGTAGCAAATGTGATGATAAGCATTTGGATTTGTGTACTTTAAAGTGTCTTAGTTTTAATTTCCCAAACAGTCAATGCAGATACATACTGCCTACAGAAATGAAAGTTATGCAAGGTCCTTTGATCTTTTATATGTGACAATCCATCCTGAGACTGGTAGTTTGAGAAGTCTGTACTAGAGAAAAGTCTAGCAGAGTGAGAGCAGTTATTTGATGGGTGTCTATAGGAAAGTGTGTGTGTGTGTGTGTGTGTGTGTGTGTGTGTGTGTGTGTGTGTGTGTATGACTCACTTGTAAAGGCATTTGGGTCAAACAGGTTCACTCTATTGATCAGTTTGGGTGGTGACTGTCGTAATATGGTTGTCTTATTTTCTATGACATACAATGTCTGGATGCTCAGAGAAAAGGCCATGGAACTGATACTGTGAGAGTGTTGATTCTTAAGTCACTGACAGATTAGAGCACTAGATTGCAGCCAGGCCTGAAACCTGAGCTTTCTGAGAGTGACAGGTTTGAAAAATGGACTTTGGGTCTGCCTGATCCTCCTGCTGCCTAATCATGGAGAAAAGAGATTTTTCTTCTCCTCTTTTTTTTTTTTTCCAGGAGCTTCCATGTGCTCAGTGGGCAGTCAGGCTATACTTTATTGGGTGGTTAGGAGAAGAGGCCACAGTCCTTGATGAAGCTTGCAAGGAAGTCTTGGCAATCAAAGTTGCAGAGTACACCCATCTTCACTGGAAAGTTTCTTCCCAGGCTTCAGCAACTCCTGACACTGCTGAAAGAGTCTTTCTCTGCCTTTGGCTGCTCCAGAACTCCTGCCCTTCCTATGTGTTAGTACTCCTCATGTTGGCTCTTATCCTCAATCATACGTGCACACACAACTGTGCTTCTTTGTATACATTATCACGTGGCTCGTGGCTTACCGGTACCTTACTTACATCTCGCTTTTTATGGCGGTAGCTGGCAGCATCTCTCTGCCTCAGCCTTCCTGTTCCCACACTTCTCTTCTCTCCTTGTCCTGCCTATACTTCCTGCCTGGCTACTGGCCAATCAGTGTTTTATTTATTAACCGATCAGAGCAACACATTTAACATACAGAACATCCCACAGCACCAGTCTCTACTACTCTTTACAGTCAGACACAGAGGTTTAGTTTCAAAGTATAAATCACTTCTGTAAGTGTAAGCTTTATAAAAAAAAAGCTCCTTTACCACAATTATTTTCTGACCCATAGTCAGAGACAAACATAAAAATTCCATGCCATGATTTTTAAAGTATCTTTTTAAAATGTATATATTTTTAATTGTTTAAAAAATATTATTTTTATTTTATGTGTATGAATGTTTTACCTGCATATATATATGTATAGGAACCTCATGTATGCCTGACCCCCATAGAAGCCAGAACAGGGTATGGGAGCTCCTGGAACTGGAGTTAAGGAGTCGTGAAGGTTCTATGAGAGCAAAGACTGTCAGTTTCTGAGACGTCTCCATCCCCATGTATTTTTTATTTTTAAATAAAATTTAAAGCTAGCATGCAAAGTCATGTATGTGTATAATATAACTATATATATATAGTTAATTATCCTTCTCACTCATTGCCCCCACTGTCTTCTCTCCATCCTCTCTACCATCTTCTTGCTGTCCCCTGCTTCCCCCTAAATAGTTCTTTCTGCTCTTGTGCTGTATGCACACCTGTGACTTTAGAGGTAATATGTGTTTCCTTTACTTTCACAAGCCATCACAGAGTCATGTCCATGAGCAAAGTCAGTGTTTTTCACTTTTTCAGTATTTGGAATCATTGTCGTGCTGCTAATTTGTTACTAAAATGTTGCTTTGTCTATGGTTCTTTGTCTATTTATTTATACATTGGGTGCTTTGAAGTTTCTGAAGGTCATAAGTGATTTGTGTTCTGTGGGTTCCAGATAGTTTTCATGCATCAAAATGGGGAAGCAATGGTTTTGGCTGAGAGTTTAATTCCTTTTTAGGTGGTTCCAAGTGTCATCAGCTGGGCAGCGGAGAGTCCCTAGAACTTGAAGACATATTTTCTGTAAAGCTGAAGAGGCGCTGTTCTGTGAAGCAGCCTGGCAAAGGCACTCTGCTGGGCATCACCCTCTTCATCTGCTTGAAGGAACAACTAAACAAATTAAAGGATTCTACACTCGATCTCATTAACTTGAGTGAAGACCACTGTGACATATGGTTCAGAGAGTTCAAGAAAATTCTGGAAGGTAAGTGCTCACCTCAGGGTTTTTTAACGAACATGGGCTTCTTTGATATAGGTAAGTGACATCTCATGTCAGGGGCTGGAGAGGTGGCTCAGTGGTCACGCAGTGGCTCACAGCAATCTCTAACTCCTGAGTCCCTCTTCTGGACTTTGCAAGCACCAGGAATGCACATGGTACACATGCAGGCCAAACACTCATACATATAAAATAAAAATTAAAAAAATTTAAAACCGCAAGTTACTTTTCTGGGCAAGAGGAACATTTGATTGTGCAGTGAGAGTGTTTTTCTGTTTTCAGCCTGTTGTTTTCATCATGAGGGGATTTTGCATCTTGTTAGGTGGTTTCTATAATGTCAGCTAAGAAAATCATATAATTTTCCTTTTATTTTGTTGATGTGATTGATACAGTACAGTGACTGATAATTGTGTATTTAACTGTCCCTGCATTCACGAATAAATCTCACTTTATCATGGCATATAGTTCTTTTAATATGCTATCGAATTAATTTGGTACAACTTTGGTACAGCATTCTTGCACAAGTATCCACAAAGGGTATTATTTTTAGGTTTTTGATAGCATCCTTGTTTGATCATGGCATCTGAGTAATCCCAATCTTATAAAATGAATTCCAAATTAACTTTTGAAAAGCCATATTTATGAAGTTTTAATAATTCTGAGTAAGATATGTATTTATTTTGTTTATATGTACGGGTACTGTGTCTGCATGGATATCTGTGTACTGTGTATATAAAGTGCCCATGGAATCTGCAAGAGACACTGGATCCCCGGGAACTGCAGTTACAGAGGTTTGTGAATTACCCTGTGGGTGCTGGGAACCAAGCCCGGAACATTTTGACCACTGAGCCATCATCCCTCCGGTTCCCTAAGAATTTTTTAAAATGATTTATTTTAATAATGTTTTAAAATTTTTTAATTTTATTATTTCTATATATGTGTGCATTCGTGGTATGTGTGTGTAGATGTATATGCCATGGTGCATATGAGGAGGTCAGAGGATGACTCTGAGGAGTTGGTTTTCTCTTTCTACTTTCATGTGTGTTCTGGGGATTGAACTTGGATGGTCAGGTTCCCAGGGCAAGTGCCTTTTCCTGCTGACACACCTTTCCAGCCCTGTGAGTCATTTTTAGAAATATCTTTATTGTCATAAGTCACATTTCTATTGAGCTTGCTTCCTATCTACACATTGCTAGCAAAGTACATTTCTGTGTTAGACATTTGAAAATAAGATTTTTTTTTTTTAAAAAAGATAATCTGTAATTTTCTATGTGTTTTACTTATTGAGAGTTGTCTAGCTTGGGGTAGATTTTTTTTTCCTGAAGGTTAATGTCAGTATGTGCTTGAGAATATGTCAAGTAATGAACTCAGTGTGTTTGAAATTTTGAAGTGACATTTTTACATTCTGGATGCTAAAAGTCTTAAGTATCACGCACTTCAACTGTATAAAACTTCCCTATTTAAAATGTCTCATTTGGAGATTTGAGATTATTTTCCCATTGACCCATTTTAAATATTTTATCAGGTTGAACAGTGCAAAAGTAGCTGGAGTAGTTGTTACAGTTTGGGGTTGGATGACAACATTGGATACCAGATTAAAAAGCAGGTCATGGTGACGTCGGGAGCTTCCAGCCGCAGCAGCACTGATCTAGAATCTCATACGGACCCACACTGGCCTATGGTGGATAGCTGGTAGCTGATAAGCGTAAGTGACTGCTGTTAGCCTGGGAAAGTCTGCTTCCTCATCAGCTCCTTTGGGATCTATAGAGGACCTGCCTTCCAAGAGGAGGGAACCATACATAGGCCAGTGTTTGGTTCATCTCTCTGTAAACAACAACAACAAAAGTGTGTTTGTAACTAGAAAGAATCCATTGTCATGAGTAATTTTTTTCAAAGCTGTTATTTCAAATTTCTTCCAAAAGATTTCAATTAAGTTTAGTAACATGAGAAGGTATTCAAAAGGCTTAGATAGTCAGTAAATTAAGAGTGTGTCATTTGCTTAGGAGAGTGAAGCTCTTCCTTGTGCTGAAGGTCTAAGAAATCTCCCAGAGGGCTTATGAAGAGCTTGCTGGGGCAAATTCAATATATCTCACCCATAAAGTCAACAGCAAGTAAGCAGAGGACGTCTGAGCAAACCTCAATTTAGTAAAAGCAATTTTATAGGAATAGAGAGACTTGTCAAAACTCAAACAAAATACCTCTGAAAACACTGTCCAAATATTTAGTTTAACGAATGATGTTTTAGATTGATCTAGGGTTAAAAATCTAGTCAAATTACAGAGATGAATAAACTACACATCTTTGCCAAACATCCTCTGGGGATCTCACTGTGAACTTTTGATTTAGAGAAGAGTAGAAAACAGTGAGCTACGTAGGGTCATTTTCTCTGGCTTGCTCCTGGAGTGCAGAATTATTTGGCTCACTGGAAACAAATAGATTGACTTCTAAAACCAACCAATGCAGACAATAAGGGTTGAAGGCCTCTGATGACAGTGAAGAACCCTAAAGAAGATGAAAGCATCTGCTCCATCTCTGCATCCAGGGACCCAGGGCATTAGTTAGGGGTCTTCTTATCCCATTGGAGGCCATCTGCATCATCTCCAGCATGCACAAAGGTATGTCTGAGGCTGTAAAGCTCTCTGCCAGCTATATCACACAGAATCTCCCTTTTCCAGGTTACAATCTAATGGTCCCCCCTTTTTTCAGATCTATATAATTCAAGAATTCATTAAACTATCAAGTTTTGGCACAGAGTGATTGCTCATTGCCTATACCACTGCCCAGTTTTCCCCTTCTAAAGAGTTTTTTGTTTGTTTGTTTGTTTGTTTGTTTTGCTTTGTTTTTTGTCTATAAAAAGTTTGGGAGGTGACCGAAATTTTGCATATCGAAAATGTATACAACTTTCAGGTAAATATTCGATAACCATATTTTAATTCCAGGGACAAAGTCCTTACTTCTAACTGGGTCTGCTAGTAAAAACAAGTTTCTCTTAAAAATGGCATTGAATTCAAAATTATTTTCAATTTCATCTTGATTGAGCAAGTAGAATTTTTCTTTTATTGCCAACACTTACACCTCCCTCCTATTCTTCTAACGAGAAAAACATGGAGACATTCAAGGCTCAAGTGGGTGGTCTTCTAGTCTTAATTAATCTAACAATTACAGTTTTATATAGTTCTGACAGTGTGTTATTTCTAAATATGAACAATTATACTTGGAATCTGAGCAAGGAATAAGATGTGATAATTTTTAAAGGAAAATTGGCAGTAGTAGCTGGAGGAAGAAAGCAATATCAAATACTTGAGATTTGAAAACTAATTAACATTGACTAAATAATTACAGGTTTATAAATATAAAAGAGAACTTTTTCTTTTTATCTAAAAGTCAGTTAGTTTTACTCTTGACCCTATTTTCTGAACATAGTTGAGTACAGAATCTTTTAACTTTGTTTTATTTGCGTTTTTGAGACTAGGTCTACATAGTTCAAGCTAACCTTGAGCTCATGTTCTTCCTTCGGAGCCTCCCCATTGCTAGGATTAGAGGTGTGGGCCCAGCTTCTTTTCAACATCAGTCATAGAAAAACTGTCATAATTTTATAACTAGCAGGCAATATGATTCATTCATGCAACACACATGATGCACAGATTCTGTTCTCTGTGTTGGAAACAAAGAGAAACACCCTCCCTCAAAAAAGAAAAAAGAGAAAAAAAAAAAGAAAGATACATGGGGTTTGAGAGATGGCTCAGTGGTTAAGAGCATCTACTGCTTTTGAAGAGAACCTGAGTTCAGTTCCCAGCACCCATGCCAGCAGGCTCACAACTGCCTATAACTACAGCTTCAGGGGCATCCAACACATCTGACCTCTGCTGACATTTGCACTCAAATGCACAAACTGCTCCTGTACCCCACAAAAAAAAACCCACAGTTACATATAGTAAAAATAATAAAGAAAATTAAAAATGGAGATGTACTCTTCAAATTTTTCTTGCCCTGGAGACAGATAAAACAATATGTTGTTTTTAAAGTAGATCAAATGTACAACGAAGACACCAAACAAACTTATGCAAACTGTAGTCACTGATACGAGAATTAAAGTTTTTTTTAAGTGTCATCATTATATCAAAAGTGGTCTAGCATAATGTTTTCTAACTTCAAATATGTACGTGTTACAAAGATAAATATGCACAGCTTTAAACATAGTATGTGTATATACTAGATATGTCCATTTTTATCCCATTAAGGCACAATTCTATTTTTACAGATTTGAGTTTCCCAGTGATGTGATTTGAAAGCTCCATTGGATCCTGATCTAAGCTTTTCCGTAGAAATGGTAATCTAGATTTGAATGAATATCCTTGGGCCTCCTAGTATGTACCTGAGACAGCCTCACAGGTGACATTTTGGACCTTCAAAGTGGACAGAAACCTATGGAAACAACAAGAAGTCATTTTCAAATGTAAAAAAGCTCTAACAGTGTCTGCTAAGTGACTTGAAAAATGAGTAGGTACAATGGAATGAGGACTCTGCCTCCAAGGAAAGGTGTCCTGATGTGGGCACATTAGGAATATGTTACAATATCCTCTTCCTCTAGAGAAGATGAAACTCCAAGCACTTTGAGAGCAATGTGTGAGGAAGTAAAGAAAAAAGCCACTGTTATAGGAATAAAGGCATGCTTGGAAAGTGATAGTATATAGTTTAAAAACAATCAAAGACTAAATATAAATATATATTCACAGGGGAATTTATGTAATAAAATATAAAAAAAACCTTAGGAGAAAATGCAGAAGGAATGAGCAAAAGGTAGAAGAGCTCTTATAGAACATGACTATTAAATTTTGTTGATATATTTAGGGCTTGTTAGTCTATTTCCAATTAATAGAGACAAATAATGGCATTTTTAGCACACATTGGGGGAGATTTAGTTCTGGAGTCATTACTGTTCAGTTTCATATCTGAATGCTAATTTCACAAGGCAGGAAAATATAAAC